CAAATGAGTATATATATATATATAAAGTTAACAGTCAACTTCTGCTAAACTATCTCGAACATTTACTAATCTACTATGACATTAATCTAACATGATCATACCATTTTTTCTATTTTCGGATGATTTTAAAATAATTAATGACCAATTTATAAAATTTGTAAAATAAGTGCTATCAACGAGTGTATTATAATTCATTTTTGAGTTTGCTATGACATTAATCTAATATCATCAGTATCATTTTTTATTTTTAGAAGATTTTAGAATAATTAATGATCGATTTATGAATTTTTTAGGAGAGATTCTCCAAATGAGTGCTTTTTATAACCAGATCAACTTCCACCACACTAACTAAACCTTTCATAAATCCACTACGGCATTATTCTACTATCATAATTATTAATTTTTTCCTTTTTCGAGTATTTTAGAAGAACTAATTATCAAAATTTAAAAAAATTTCAAATATGACCTCTCAACTAATGTATTTTAGTTCATTTGCGAATGTAACTCAAAATTTTACCAATTCATTAGGGCATCAATCTAGCAGCATCACTACCATTTTTATTCCATTTTTAGAGGATTTTAGAACATATTTATGAAATATTTAGGACAGGTTCTATGAACAAATGTATTTAAGTTCATTTTTCGAGGGTATTTAATGAAAAATTTCTAGGTGGACTGATTCAAGTCAATCGACCGCTCATTCTTTGAAGAAGCATAAAAATATATCCTTTTCCAACCTTTGTTGGAGGTTGGAGCTCTCTTAGTTCTACGACCAAGGCGAGTGGGGAGCAAATAAGTCAAATCCCTAAAGCACATGCTATAACATGAATATAGGGTTAGCATTAGGGTAATGTAAAGCCTTTTACACTCTTTGACAAACATCGCAAAAAATCGCTAGGAGTTCAACGTTATCTGGGCAAACAAGAATTCAAAAAATGAGAAGTCTCAACAAAGAAAGGGTGAAAGGGAAAGAGAAGTCCTGACCGAAGTGCATCTATGCAAGTGGTGATATGACTCATAGGGTTCGTCACCTTGTTGAGCAACTATTAGCTCGAACTTGGCTGTTATGTGATAGACCTCTTGGATAGTGTCCATGTCAGAGGCCGACATTACTGAGTCCAAGTTGAAGGACTTCATTGTGAAGCCCTACTGCTTGAGAGATTCACCCATATTGGGGTAGCCTCTATTGGAGTGATCGATTTGAATACCCCCAAGCAAATTTTTTTTTTTTTGTTTACACCAAAGATGATCACATAATCAAGGACCTATTCGAGTCCTATGAATTATTGGAGAATGTAGAGGATGATTTTTTTGAACTTCAAAGGAATTGCTGAGGAAGTTGAACGTTAAAAATAAAATGATTCGAGTTGTGGACAGAGGTGAAGAATGAGAAGTGCCTATCCCAATATTTGTAGGGGCCAAAGGTGACATTTTCGCTATCCTAAGAGTCCATTCGACTCTTGGGCGCTTTGAGAGAGGGGCTAACATGGCACAATCTTGGCTACGAGGGGCCACGTGGCACGATCAGGGCAATCATATGGTCATTTGGGTAAACATTACGATCCTACCGAATCCACCATGACACGTAGAGGCCCTAGCTCTCACCATGTTGGACCAATGGCATGCAATTATGACACGCTATCAAGGATATGATCTTGTCATATCTCACACAACAACCAAGATGAATAGCTCATCCTTGCAAATTAGGATACCCTATCAAGGATATGTGCCACCTTGTCAGGTAATGTTGGCCCATCGGGTGTCATTGCACGATGTTGTATCACCCATCAAGAGGCACCACACGAAGTTAGGTAGGCCTATCAAGCACCACCACACGAGGTGGTGTCGGCCCACTGAGCAACATCGTGTGAGGCCATAACGACTATGTGATGTCATATCGGCCTATCAAGCATCACCATGTGAAGTCATGTCAATCCATCAAGTGCCATTACACCAGACTAAGTCAGCCCATAGAGCACCAATGATGAATGAAGTCAAAGTTGCCACTTTTAACCTCAGCATCACCAACCACCCAAGCAACACTTCCCAACCAAATTTCGTTGTGCTTCATAGCTTAACAAGTGGGGCATGTGGCTTTTAAATGCCTTTGCACTAGATGACTAACACCACGTTGCCAAGGGACTGATACTTCAATGTCAGGGTTAACTAACACCTCGACACCAAGCGATAAACAACTTGGCGTCAAGTGGCTGACATCTCAATGCCAGGTGAGCAATGTTATGATGCCATATGACTGGTAC